CGTTCACAATAGCCGGCGTCTGAGCCGGCAACGCTGCCCGCGTCCCTTCTGTGCACCCTGCCGTGTGAAGACGAGGGCGGCCGAACGACTTGCCTAAACGCCGAGCGCGGGAATACTGGCCTAAGAGGGCAACCTTGAGGAGCGCTAGAGAGAGATCACGGAGCTTAAGCAGACGGTTTTGGTAGTAGCTGAGGTTTAGCGCCGTAGATACGCCACGCATGTACGCCCTCAGATCCGGCATGCTATTCTCCCTTATCAGTTCCGTTTGCTCTTCCTGTGGACACTTCAGGGGCCTCATGAGAGTCTGCATCTCCACCATGTAAACTTTGAATGGCTCTCCCCACCTCTGCTTCCGCAGCCTCACCTCCTGCAGTAGCTTCTCAAAATATCCTCTTGGCAAGAAATAAGCTTGGAAGCTGCTGGAGAAGTCTTTCCACGTCTTCCATTGCCGATTGTTGGCCACGAACCACTTGGGATCAGGTCCGGATCCAGCCCGTACGTCTCGGCGGACCACTCGACCTGCTCCTTCTTGAGCTCTCCGAAGCAGCAAGGCAGCTTGGCTTTACTGGTGAGAGAGTGGACGAACCGGTGGAATCGCATCAGGTCCCCACGGCCGGCACCCGGAACACCGAGTACCTTGGGGGAAAGGCCCAGAGCCGAAGACAGAGGGCTTGCCTGTCGATGCCGGCTGGGTGTCGGAGTGACCGACCGCTCGGGCACCGCCATGCTCGCGATGAGCTCCTGCTGAAACTCAGCCGGGCACTTCCATAGCGCCGCCGCCGCCTTCCCTTGAGGTAGAGCGAGTTGCTCGTACGTGGCCGGCTTGTCGTCAGGCCGAGGCATCGGTGACGTTCTGCTCGCCCGACATTCCCAGACCTCCAGTAGATCCGCATACTCTGGCTCTCCGCCGTGTTCCCTAACCCACTCTTTGAACGCCTTCCTCATCTCGTCTAGCGTCCCCTCTAATCGTACGCCAACCGCCTGAGCGCATTGCACCAGATCCTCTTTCCTCAAATTGTGGATCCATTGTCCTTTTCCCATCGTGCCCTTTGATCTATCAGACCACCTTTCCTTACGTTTTTTACTTGTTTTGGTCGTGAGGCCCCACGTTGGGCGCCAGTTGTAACGAACCCTTTTTCCGGGTCTCGTGACCTGTGCTGGGCTGACTCAGCGGCCTCGACGACCAAGTAAAAACACAGGATTGGTTTATTTCTGACAATTGGGGTTTTATTCAATATTAATCTCTATCGCTTAGCCTAGCTTATGGCTATGTTACCGCTATCTTGTGACCTGTCGATTTCTGACGGTTGGCTCCGGGCGTTGCACGTTGGTGCCGCTGAACTGGGGCAATTGATCTTAATCCGCCACACCAATTCCGCACTCCAACGGTTCGCCTTTCTCTACCTTAACCTCGTCCGAAAATCTGTTGTTCACTCTGATTATGCAAGACTCACTCTGAGCATTCGATGTCGCGGGTCCCGTTACGATTTCCGCTATTATGCACTTCGATTCACTTATTCACCCGAACACTCGGCCTAGCTCTTGGGCTGCTCACGCGTGAAGCTTCCCTCGCTTGGCGGCCACCCTCCTTATATAGGCGCCGGCTAACGGTTCTAACACGCGGTCAGTGTTTTTCCATCGGCGATTCTGATGCTTTCTCCCTTCTTCGTAACTGGACCCCGATTACATGGCCATATTTGGGCATGCGTTGGTCCGCTGCCGGCCCGATCCCATCCTTCCACTCTCTT